GGAAAAGTTCGATAACTGAAGAGCAAGGTTGTTCTGCTTAGTCAAGACAGGCAATATAAATTGAAACATTATTTGACCTTAAATGTGCACTTTATTATGGGTAATCAATTGAAGTATAGCCAAAAGAATTATAAAATATTATATTCCAATTATATTCCAACCTAGTATATATTTTAATTATAAATAATTATATTCTAAACAAACTTAAACGTAATGGGTCATTTGCCTGTTAGTTGCTCATTTTTAAGAAAAAAAAACATTATTCACTAAAAATAATTGCAACATTTCAACCAGCAAATGAACCACTTAATTAATTTTCAAACATTATTAAATTAAAAAATATTTTACGCTCAGAGCAGCTGAAGAACCACTTGGACATCACGCTGGAGCACAACGCTACGTCTGCGTTCATACGAGTTGGCGAAACAGATGTTAGTGCAACAAGTGTCTATTTATATCGAAATTTTATATTGAATGATATTCAATAGTCTTGTATGAAGAACGCATTCCAACCTCTTCAAACACAGAAAGAAAGAACAATCTTCTAAGAAGTTACAAGCACCAAATTTAAGCAACGACTATTGTTATCACGGTTGAAGTAATATATATAGTTTCAACTATATATAGTTCAAACATGGATTGTTATATCATATACTATATTTATAACGTATAATTGAAATGTTATTACTGCGATGTCTATATATGTGTTTCCACCAAGTTAATATAGAATTTCGCCTTAGATGGGCGTTCCATATGTTACTATAGGGTATAGAACTATGACCAAAACATTGGGATTCAATTTACTTTCGTGCTTGGTGTTCGATGCTTACATTAAATCGTTATCTAATTTATCTTATTCTATTTCAATATTGTAGGTCTGCCAACTAGGTTCATGTCGAGCATATGATGTGGGGTGCTTGATGTATGAATCAAACTATTAAATATATTCACATTTTCTATATGTTGTCATAGATCTATGAACAAAACCTCGGACGACACGTATCAGGCATTTGGTGCTTGATGTATGAATCAATAAGTTCACAAATAAATAATGTAAATAAGTTCACATTTTCTATATGTTGTCATAGATCTATGAACAAAACCTCGGACACGTATCGGGGGGCATTTGGTCTAACTATTAAATCTATTCACATTTTCAGCGGTGTTCGACAGCGCGTCAGGGTCCCGTCTGAGCTCGCGGTTCATCACCACCAGCGACGCTGGACAGGACGAGGAGCTAGCGGCGCTTCTAGCGAAAATCAGGGAGAACAGACTAGTCATTTTCGTTGGCACGGTTCGTCATGAAGTTTATAATTCGAAAACTAACTGATAATTTAAAAGCAAAAAAATACCATGTTTCTATTGAAAACGAAATTATCAAAAATTTAAAATACCTGATTCAAGAACTATCAGAATAGCACCTCCCTCATCAGTTCACTTCAATTTCAATGACGGTGGTTTTGGAGCTGGACTATGAATCGTATTTGAAAAAGATAAAAAGTGAATTTACTTGGATTATTTTTGCTTTTAAATTCATTGTTAATTTGAAATTTGTTAAACTAATGATATTGATAAGTACATACTTCTTGATTCGGAAATATTTACGAGCTACTTTTGATAATATCAATTTTAATTCAGAAATTTAAAATGGATCGTTGATTTTACTGCTGGTGTTCAATATTATTACGTAGTTAAAATTGACATGAAGTTAAATGTTAATGTTTTCCTGAGCTGGACTAGACTCAACTTATGTATAAAATTTTCACCTTTTAATTATATATATATTATTTATATATATTTATATATAAAATTCTCCCCTTAGTAATATAAAAAACTTAATGTACGAGAAACATAAAGTTATTCAGATGCATATCGATAAGATAGTTTTATTTTTTAAGAATTAAAAAAATTCATTTCAATAAAAATTAAATTTCTTGCGCAGGGAGATTTCTTGCGCAGCCTTTACGACGCTGGGGCAGATGCCCTCAGAACGTACGGAAGCGTCATGGTGGATAAACTAGCGAACTATGAGCCATGGTGAATACAATAGCGCGATAATTAGTAATTCATCAAAATATAAATTTTAAACGTCCACTTGACGGTTCTCTTTAAAACATGTATTCTGGAAGCTTTTGAAAGTTCACATTTCAAGTTTTCTGCGATAGTGGACATTTTTATATCTTTTTATTTACTTTAGAAATGGATATTTTTATGGCCATGTTTTTGCACATATTTATTCTCATGTACTCAATCATCCTCTCACCTGAACGTTCGAATTTTTAAATTTAATTTCCAGTTAGCATTTTATGAGGCAAAATGTATTTATTCAAACTGCTTGTCAATTTTAACATATATGATATAAATTTCATTTATATACAAAGCTCGAAATTAATGTTTAAATTGCTCGGGGTTTTTAAAGGTTCTTGATCGGGAGGTCGGGGCGTGGACCACTCACCGGGAACTTCAGCAGGTTAGTTAGCTTATCAACCGCTTCTCAATTCTTGTGGAGAGCACCTTGACACTGCCGAATACTTTTATACTTTTCCAATTCACAAAATATTCGGCATAATTGAACATAACTTCACAAAAATTCGCTCATAGAATCTAATTCCCAAATTACGTGCTCAGTTCTCAGGGGTTCACAACTCTCGTAGAAGGCACCATGACGCTGCCGCCGTCACTACAGAACGACGTTAATAAAGTCATGTCCGCTCACCACTCAGTCAACCTCTTCGTACCCATAGCCGGGCTCAAGTAAACTTATTCATAGTACTTAGTAGTACATAGTATACATAGTACACAAAACAGTAGTTGTGTGTAAAAATTAGTACAAAGAGGAACCATTTGTACACTGACGGGAAGTTTGATAGCAGGACTACAGATAAGAATTTGCATTGATGACGGTTTTGTGGTACTGCCTCCTAGTATCCAGCGCTGTGCTCGAGTAAACATTTTCATAGTACTTAGTAGTACATAGTATAGATAGTACATAGTAAACAAAAGACTAGTTGTTTGCAAAAATTAGGACAAAGAGGAGCAATTTGTACACTCACAGGAAGTTTGATGGCAGGACTATTGGTAAGAATTTATGGTTGAGAATTTATATTTAATATTAAATATAATAATATTTATTGGTTTAGAATTTATATTTGCATTGATGACGGTTGTGGTACAGCCTCCTATAGTTTCCAGCGCTGGGGTCTAGTAAAGTAATTCATAGTACTTATTGGTACAAAACAGTTGCGAGATGGTTAGAAAATGGAGAGTAACCCTTTGTATAATGACGGGAATTTCTATATCGGAGATTTAGGTAAAAATAAAATCGATTACTGTTACGGTATCCGGATACCGGAGCCTTCATCTACTTTCTGTAAGCATAGTTACCATCTTCATGTACGAATAGCATTGGCAGCGATTATATGTCTCAGTAAACTAAAAATGATTAATGCATCAGTAGCAAGAAGACGAATATTTTATTAGCAGGAAAAAGTTTAATCTATGTCTAGTGACAGGAACTCTCGCTACTAGCTAGGCCTCAACATTTGTAAAGCAATATCTGTTTCTTGTACGAAACATATTCTTAACGGTGGTAGCGGTTAAATTTTAAGATACCCCCAAGATTTCCATTCGAAATTTAAAATAAGTGGAACAACTTGCAATTGTCGTATTTATGAAACTAAATATCAAATTGTTGTTTTGTATTATTTATTAAATATTTTTTTTTTCAGATCAGGAAACCGCTTGCCGGAAGGTTCCATAACAAAAGGTTGGTATAGCGTGCACCGATATATAATACTTTGCTGATCCTGCTGGTGTATTATGGCACTTCTTATTCGTAGTATTCTTACCTGAACAGTGAAAGTAAATATGAAATAAGTTGCATTCTAAATGCTAGTATATAAGTCTATGTTCGTGTAGGCTAGACACAAGCGCTGAGGCCATAAATATTTTTCAAATTTCATCTCATTTTGGTGCAGCTGTCAGGGGCGGTGCTTCCTTCGTTCCCTTTTTAGCGCATTTTCTCATTTATGGAAAAAATGCACTATTGTGCTCGCCATGTCCGTCTGTCTGTCTGTCTGTCTGTCTGTCTTTCTGTCTGTCAGTTTAAAAGTTTTTTGTTTTCTCGGGGCAGAAAATCAAGGAGATCACGTACATGCACAGCGAGGGCATCCTAGCGGGCGAGCTGAAGCACGGCCCCCTCGCCCTCGTCGACAAGGGCATGCCTATCATTATGATCTGCATGCGCGACAACACCTTCGTCGTCAGTATTGTCTTCACCATCATCATCTATATCATGCGAGACAGCCTGTATCATGCGAGACGGCATGCTAGACCTCGTCCTTTATCATGCGAGACTTTGGCCTTTATGATGCGAGACTACATGCTAGACCTCTAATTTTATCATGCGAGGCCTTCTTCAAGTGAAACTTCGGCCTTTATCATACGATAACAGCCGCGCTCACTCGTGACTGCTATTTATCGTGCATTGACTGATACGATTACCGATCAATTCGATCAATCACGCTTACCAACTCTACACTGTCTCTAGCGTATAAAATGTTGGGCTTTTGCCCTCTACGTTATTAATATCATATGAAAGTTTGAAATGACTCTTTCTTATTCATTTTCTTTTGGTAAATTTGCTCCTTAGTGAATTATAGAATTAGTATAAAATTGAGCCTTAGCTAATTATTTAGAATTCTGCGTGTAGGTGTCGTAGAGTTGAGTAAAAAATAAATTAGACTAACGTAAATAATTCCGGGACCACGTTGACCCCACAACTTTGAATCAACTTGTTTTCACTTCCGAACAAGCGCATGGATGTTGAATGTCGATTTCAAAGCACTTTTTGATAAATCAACTAATTTTATTGTGTTACCAACACCTGATGTCATGCTCTCTGACTTGAAAAAAAAAATAAAAGCTAAATAACGAAAAAATAAAAGTTAAATTACTTGACACGTACGATGTCAATTGTCAGAAACTGACCGGTCGATACCCTTTCTCAGAAGATACAGAAACTAATACAACTGTTTTGAACAATTAAATAAATTCTACCTGAACAAATCATCGGAAAACCAATGCTTAATTAATTTACTGAAGGTAAGAATTTCACGTTACAGAATTAGTATCAAGGTAAATCGAAAAAAAAATGATTAAAAACTTCATAGATATTTGTTCCATAGAGCATATATTTGTGTTCATTGATTCGGTAAACAGGTCAACAAAGTAGAGCTCAGGCAGCACAAATTACAAGCCGGTCAACGCAACACGATTCAGTATCTGCAGTTTTCCAGAAAAAACTCATATATATGGATACTCTACTAAAGCAAAATAATATGTGCTGCGTATTTTAAAGTTTCATATTTTACATTGTCATGATAGCTTCACATTTGACTAAATTTATTTTAATAATTCGTTTTTCCCAAGAGGAAATGGAGAAAAAGTGAATAAATTCGAGTTAAATTTTAAAATAAAAGCTCTCCACGTGTCCTTTTATAAGATTTTTACACAGTGAAAATTTTATTAGGTAATAAACTCCCGGAATGCAATGTCGAACAAATCTTCCAAGAAATTCACGATGCTTGAAGTAGTTGAGATTTACATCGAATTTGTCGTACAATGCACTCCATTTAGCAGGAGCACACGTGATCGATATCTCCAGGCACACACTCACCCAAGGCCGTCACGTCAACATTATAGTCGCTAAAATGTTATGGTTACCGTATTAGTAATCCAAGGTAAACCTATTAATGTCAATTTTCATAATAATATCAAATTACAATAAGTTAATGTAATAAACATGAAAGCTAACATGCTCATGCAATAGAGTAAAAATCTCACTGCCATTAGCGTGATAGCAATGTAGCAAGTCACGCTAGGCAATAACCTTGAATGCTTGCGTGTCTTTTATAACGTACTGTGAAAATGAGGTTAATTATATATTAATTACATTGTGCACTGAATCCTTCCTTCAAGGNATTGACAGGTAAGAGACGGGATTTAAATTATGAGCGTTGTTTATTCTAAATGTAACAGTCAGTTACATTGACAGGTCAGAGACTGGATTTAATTTATGAGCGTTGTTTATTCTAAATGTAACAGTCAGTTACATTGACAGGTCAGAGACTGGATTTAATTTATGAGCATTGTTTATTCTAAATGTAACAGTCAGTTAAAACGAATGGGATTTGTTTACCAAATAGCGAAATCATTTTGCACGTATATTCTTCAAAGCCCTTTTTGCTGGGCCAAACTTGGCTAGAATGACCTACCAACGGATAAAGAATGTGTCGTTATTTCGACATAGTCTCACTTATTTCTCCGAGTGAATTTTTAATGATGCGTTGTGTAAATAATTGATTTTGGTTGAAAATTATAATTTCTGGCTTTTTTGGCCCTTACAACCTGTCCCCTTGTTCAACATTTGCTACACTTTCTGCTTACCAATGAAGGTCTGTCAGTGTAACTATAGAAAATTTTCCAGATTAAACTACTTTAACCTAAGATTTGAACAAATATTTACAGCTATTTCTTCGCGTGTTGAACAGGGCATATGCAATATCGTATATTGGAATCATATATCGTCTCTTGACGGCTATAACTTTATTCTTGTAATTTCAACAAATCTTCTATACATTTATTTATACATGTAGATATTTTTTCGATAAAACAACCCTCTAATATACTTTTTCCTTAAATTGAGCCTAAAATTCTATTTTCTTGACTTAAGATCTCGAACAAGTCTCAATTTCTTATTGTTCAGAATTTTTTTATTTATTTAAAACATTTAAAGTTTGACTTATAGAATCTGGTTCACAATAACGCAGGTTGAGTTCACCATCTCTGTACGATGCTTGGTACGTCTCTTANAGAGCTACACCCATCATTATACGGGACAATCCGTGCGACGTATTTCCTCTGCCAGAAGATAAGGTTATTTATTTCATTTTATTCATTTTCCATTTCTTTTGTTTTAGAAGTTTACTAGTTATACACTCAGAAAAATGAATGAATTTTATTGTTCAAATGATGACGCTTTTTCTGTGAGTGGACCCAATTCACGCATTTATCGGGCCAAACCTTGGCTGCATGACCCCATACAGGGGCAAAATTTTCATATTTATTTGGACAAATTATCACTAATTTCTCTGAGTATACAGTCTGTAGAATAATTAAGTCAATGCAATACACTAGGCAATCAATTATGTCAAAAATATTGATCATAGAAGATAACAAAGTGACTTTGTTAGAGTTTTGAACGCAAACATGTTGGTGCAGTCAGGTCCGTTCGTGACGTTCGTGGCCCTGCCGAGTCTCAATGACGGCTTCGACAGCTTCTACGTGCTACTGGCGGTGAGACGAACGTTTTTATATGAAATTAAAAAAAATATTTATCATTATCAAAATAATTAAATTTAATTTGTCGAATATTATATCTAAACCGTCGTTACTTCTATTAGATATGAGTTAAGCTGGAGAAAAGTAAATAATCTAATGATTTTATACACCATTGCCTAGATTATATTGTTGTAGCCTGACTTAATAAAATGTTTTACACAACTTCTATATGCTCCCAAGAGTGAACCACTGAAGAAGATATCAAATCACAACGGTTATGGAAAATATAATTTAACTACCGCAAAAAGGATTTTCATTTGAATTTTTACTCAAAATGAAGCGTTGCTGTGGATTAATGGAAATTTTAAACCTTTAGTTTTGAATTTAACCACTTGAAAAATTTGCATCCACCGAAAATTTGCATTTTCTCAGTATTCTGGGATAGTTTACTAGTTATATTCTGATTTATTATTTTTGATATTTTCACTTGTGCAATTGATTCATCATTAATTTCAGTGTCTTGGTTCAGATCCGAAGACCATGAAAGAAACCTACGAAGGAACAATTCGTCTCAACGTCCGTGCTTTTGATTTCTTACTAGAAAAATCCAAAAGAAATTCGCTAGGCGGCCATGCAGGAGGTCATCACCGAGTTCTGTACATCGTTGGGTGCCCACTTTCGAAATTCTGGTGAGTGAAATTTTCATGTGATTTTTCGCTAAGCAGAATTTGTTTTCTAAATTCATTTGTGTAAAATTTTGTCTTTTCGCTTAAATATGAATTTGAAATTAGGCGAAAAACACTTGTAACGTGATGATTCCAACAATATAATTGTTTAATAACTCAATTTCAAGCGATCATTTTAAATTTATTGTTGCGAAAACATCACGGTAGAAATTCAAAACTTCCAGGTCCTTGTTCCATTTAATATACACTCAGAAAATAAATGGATTATAGAGTCCAAATAGTTACTCACTTTTTTCCCCTCAGCATGAGCAGAGAGAGGACGTAGAACTGATACGCCTTATTGTCAGGTTAAACTGAGTCATGCAAGATAACCAACACGAGTGTAAAAAAAAATATAACTCAGTACTCACTGCAGTGAGTGACTGAGAGCGCATTTTCTCGTCGACGAAAACTTGAGGTCACGGACGGACGGACAGACGGACGGACAGACGGACGGACATGGCGAGCACAATAGTGCATTTTTTCCATAAATGAGAAAATGCGCTAAATATGCATGGCTATTTGGACAAAAAATTTTACATATCTCTGGGTGTACACTCGGACTCAAATAAATTCTCTGGAGCTGGCAGTGTAATTCCTTAAATTATTTCAGTGGTAGAGCGAGCACTTTTCTGATTTATCAATATTTCTTATTTCATTTGTACAGCCGGCATATCAAATATACATTAATATTTTCTTATTTCATTTTTACAGCCAGCATATCAAGTATTTATTAATATTTTATTATTTCATTTCTACAGCCAGCATATCAGCCAGATTAATATTTCTTATTTCATTTGGACTGCGGTACATCAATTATTTATTAATATTTTCTTATTTCATTTTCACAGCCAGCATATCAATTATTTACTAATATTTCTCATTTCATTTGTACAGTCAGCATATCAATCATTTATTATTATTTCTTATTTCAATTTAAACAGCCAGCATATCAATTATTTATTAATATTTCTTATTTCATTTTAAACAGCCAGCATATCAATCATTTATTATTATTTCTTATTTCAATTTAAAGAGCCAGCATATATCAATTATTTATTAATATTTCTTATTTCATTTGTACAGCAAGCACATCAATTATTTACTAATATTTCTCATTTCATTTGTGCAGCAAGCATATCATTATTTATTATATTGTCTTTTTTCATTTGTAAAAATTAGAGCCTAAGTATACGAATTAAACCTTTTATAAGTAAAACTGTCTTTTTTCTTGAAATCGTGGCGATTTTTTAAGAAGTTTAGGCTCATTTTGAACTACAAAGCAATATTAATTAATATTAAATTATGAACGTATCATACAATATTAATACTGTTAAATCCATTATATTTGGTTCAATGTCGGAAGTAAAGGCAACAAACGAAAAAATTTTTTGTGAATTCTCAAAAAGTATGATAGATAACTAATGTAAAACAGTGGTTAAAGATTTTACTAAAAAATTCATTTTGTAAAATATCATTCCGTCGTCTCTTGGTTCACAAAGTTAGAATAAATTAGTTTACGATTTGTTTACCCAGCATTCGTTTCAATTGCACTGGCACGTGGCAATAGAAAAATAACATCACGTCACGGTATTTATAGACGCACTGACCAGAGTTTATTGGTGCAACCATGGCAAAGGCAAAAATTAAGAGTTCATTATTTTTAGCGCATTTTCTCATTTATGGAAAAAATGCACTATTGTGCTCGCCATGTCCGTCTGTCCGTCCGTCCGTCCGTCCGTCCGTCCGTCCGTCCGTCCGTCCGTCTGTCTGTCCGTCCGTGACTTCNTCCTCCCTTTAAACAAGTAAAGCTGATTCACATTTCTAACCCTTATTTTGTCCAAACGAACCCAGAATTTTGAATCAGCTTATCCTTGAATATTTTCTACAAAAAGCTTGATTATCAGAAAAAAATATATGAGCGTAAACTAAAAATATATTGAACACACCTACACATTGATGGCTCGACAAGCCCAAGCCTACGGCTCCAACTCCAAGGTAACCTTCCAATGATCCAATCATACATGCAGCGCATCAAAAAATCGAGTTATAGTTAAGGATGCATACATTTAAGGAATTATATTTTTAATTCATAATCTGATATAAATATATGCAGCGTGGAAAACTATGGAACAATTTTTGAAACTTATACCGCATCCCGCATGACTAATTCCTAGTTCCTAACCATGATTGAACTAGTATAAGGTTGACCCATCAGAAGCTCATTTTGGAGGATGTAGTTCGTTGTTCACCTGTGACGTCACTGATCTCAGTGACGTCACGGTCATTAACCAATCACCGAAATGCGATCAAACCAGTCAACCAATCCGTCATGGGAATGATGGGTTTGTTTAAGTTTCTCGATCTACGTGACGTAACAAGAAAGCTGAACTGAAAGGCGGAACTTCTCGTGGGTCAACCTTATATAGTTCAACCATGCTTCAACCTTTCCAATCGATCTGAAAATTTTCACAATTGCGTAAAGTCTGAGACAATGCATGAATCAATTGACCGAATAAAAAAATAATTTCTAAAATTTAAGTATAAATACTTAAGACTTATTATGCAATTATTTCCTATACAGATATTGCATACAAGGTATAATAAATGGATACTGTATAATTAATTAGCCCCATATGCTGCCGGAAGACGGAAGTCTCAAGTCAGCTGGCTCGCCTCGTGTGGGGCTCCCGCTGTTATGCAGCGATGTTGACACGCACACCACTTGCCTGATCTGACGCGCTGTGTAGAACCAGAAAATAATAATTTCGATTCCCCAACATTTGATCCCGAGACACTCGGGATCCGCATCAGTCTGTCCCATAGATTTATTACTAACGCATGTCCTCAGGTTCTATTTATCGACCTCTGTCAGCTACTAGAAGTGACTAAACAAAAAACTTTATAATTTTCTCTCTTTCTTTATTCAATGCCCACAACAAATAAATACGTAAAAAAAAACCTACCTCTTTTTTATTATACGATTTAATTTTAGCTACAGCTTTCACTAACGAAAAATAAGTTAATTGCTTGTATCTTTAAAGAAAATTTTTATTCAGGGTGACTTGCAACATTCAATACGAGAGATGCGTGTGCTCATTTCAATATTATTTGTTTGCAAATGCGCAATTATTTGAACCCCATTGCAACTGACGGATAAACGAGAAATGAAAACAGGCTAATTATAATAGGAGCAGGTAAGACGATGAGGACTCTTCTTAAATACGAAATGAATAGGGCGGGAGTTACCCGAGTTAGATTTAATATCTGTAAAAACGACAGTGGAATGCACAACCTATGTGATGAACAAGCAAGCAGTTAATTTTATATTGTTTAAGCATGCTATTTTAAATAAGAAAAATAATACACTGCGATGTAGGCTTGGCGGCTGGAGACGTAAATCTTCCGACATGGACCTGGTGTGGTGAATAATTAAGCGGCCAATTTTATATTGTTTAAGCATGATATTTTAAATAAGAAAAATAACACACTGCGATGTAGTCTTGGTGGCTGGAGATGTAAATCTTCCGACATGTACCTATGTGATGAATAAGTAAGCAGTTAATTTTATATTGTTTAAGCATACTATTTTAAATAAGAAAAATAATACACTGCGATGTAGGCTTGGTGGTTAGAGACGTAAACCTTCCGACATGCACCTATGTGATGAATAAGTAACCGGGAGTTTACAAGCAAAAACAATACCACAAAAATTCACCATATCTTTATGAAAGAAAAAATTCACCATATGACCATATCTTATAAAGATATGGTGAATTTTTGTGGTATTTTTTTGCTTTTAAATTCCTGGTTAACTTGCAATTTAGGCAAACAAGTGATTTTAATGCATATGAACAAGTAAGTAGCAGATTTTATATTGTTTAAGTATGATATTTTAAACAAGAAAAATAACACACTGCTATGTAAGCTTGGTGGCTGGAGACGTAAATCTTCCGACATGGACCTGGTGTGATGAATAAGTAAGCAGCCAATTTTATATTGTTTAAGCATGATATTTAAAACAAGACATATAACACACTGCAATGTAGGCTTGGTGACTGGAGATGTAAATCTTCCGACATGGACCTGGTGTGGTGAATAATTAAGCGGACAATTTTATATTGTTTACGAATGATATTTTAAATAAGAAAAATAATACACTGCGATGTAGGCTACCGGGAGAGGTAAATAAATATCTCGCTATTGACCTATAAGAAAGGAAAAAGTAGGAAGTCGATATTATATCGTTAATCCATGATCTTTTGAGCAAGATAATCGCCATAGCACAATGCACTACAGGTTATATGGCTACGAAACTTTAAAATAGATCAATTTGGATCCTCAAAATAGATTTGTCGAAAAATTAACAGACATAATAAATTTCAATTTAAAAACGACTGTCCAGCAATTGGGAAACAACGAATAATTTTACTCCTTATACATATAAANACATAATATAATATAATATAATTGATAATTATTTGATATATATTTAACCTCGTACGTATTACAGTACCTCCATTTTTAATTCACTTGAGAAGTAACGCTATTTTTAAATCTATGCGTAATAATTTTCTAGACACTTTTCTTTATTCGTACTCCAATTTCACTGACCTTGACGTTAGACTCCTCATAAAACTTTGGAATGATCTGTGCTTTCCTAGCACAGGCAGCTCGTCCGGGTCCAGGTGTAGCAGGTAGCGGAACTGGTGGCGGTTCCGCAAAATGCAGTCCGTGAAATAGATGTTCTCTAAACCGAACATTTCGCTACGTTGCACGCCAACCCAAGCCCTGTTCAATTCAATAATATATCAAAAATGTACTGATCTATAAATTTATAAAAATTTTACGGCTTTTGGTGCTGATATATCAATAAAAAATTAAATTTCATGATATTTAGAGCCTGGATGGACTTGAATAAAGGAATTAAATTTGTTCAAAATATTTCTAAGAATATACTATGATTTTGTTAACCTTACCTCCCTCACATTTTAGCACAATCAAAGCTCTAATTTCTAACGTGAAAATACAATGGTTAACATTAATCAAACGTATACATTCTACTATATTAATCTCAAACGAAACATTGCTAATTAAAATCATTCTACATGAGATTAATAAGGTAAAAACCTTCAGGTCCGTTACCTCCTCAAGATGGGATTGTCAACATAAGGAGCGGGGTACGAAAACGACGTAACTTTCACGAATCCTTCCCTTTCGTAAAATCTTAATACTTTGTCCACATTTGGATGCACTCTTGTGACATACAAGAATATCCTTGAGAAACCCAAGATCTTGAGTATCTCAATCCACTCAATGAGACGTGCACTGATATCTGAGTGGTAATAAAATATAGCTGGACCACAGACCGCAGCGTCGTTGGGTGACTGATTTATTTTAGTGTTGTGTGGGCCAACGAGAACAGCGCGTCGGGCATGGCCTGCGGTTGACCGCTGAGCGATGTGTGCTTCATAATCAGTGATCTGCAAACTGGAATATCCATTTATAAGTCAGGTTTCATATTAGATGAGATGGAACTTAATGCGACAGAATCCGTACACAATGCATACGAATAAATCTGATCATTCATGAGATATCTATATAAAATGTTTTGAAACGTAATCCACTTTACGAGATTGAGTAAATAACAAAATTGTGCAGCGTCTACTTTGTCCAAATAACAACTTTCGCCTTAATTGGGTTATAGCAAAAATTCAATGGTTTATACTGTATGTAGACACTTTTATACTGTATGTGGGATTGTATGTAGGCACTTTTAACCTTGCGGTGATTGAGATTATTTATTTCTCATTAAATAATCTGGTTTCGCGCTATGAATTGTAGTCATTATTCGTAACGTCACCTGCAAGAAGTTGGTCACTGAGGAACATGACTCTAGGCTAGTAACAACGGGTGACATTATTCGTAACGTCACCTGCAAGAAGTTGGTCACTGAGGAACATGACTCTAGGCTAGTAACAACGGGTGACAATATTCGTAACGTCACCTGCAAGAAGTTGGTTACTGAGGAACAGGACTCTAGGCTGATGGAGACGCCGGCTACAGGACCCATTGAGCTTGTCACCGGGCACGTTAGCAGCAGAGGCACTAAGCGGTTGTCTGCTCCTTGGTAGTCAATAAAAGCTAGGGACAAAGTGACAATTAAGAGCAATGAAAAATATTGTTAAATCAGCATAAATAGAGTATAATAAAACAGCTGACGAGGTGTCTCACAGTCCAAATAAAGTCTGTGTGGTCTCAAATTTGTGTCTCTTAAAACAACGACTGAATTACTCAAAGATGTCCACAAATGTCGCTGTCAACGTCAAATTACTCATGTGCGCATATAGAGAACTGAGGGAACTGCTGACTGCTCTACATTTAAAATATTCACGTGCAATAGAGAGATTAATTGGAATCGGGCTCAATCATTAGCAAGATCAAAGAGTATTATGCACTCTTCTTGGTGAAGGTTTGTCACAGAACAGGCGTTCAAATGTTAGGTCACGCAACACCATCTAGCACGCTGAATCATGTTGATCTTCAAGTTATAACAGCTCACGATTCCCAACAGTACATTGTTATCGCCGTCGCGCCAGTTGAGAGGATCATGATTGAAATTTATTTGTAAATAATTACTTCACTCGAGGTTGTCACTGTTAATTGGTTTCACAATTTAAGAATTTTTTCTCAGAATTCAATTACTGTAAATTCGCCTTTCGTAAGAATATGGAAATTGATCCCGTCATAGAAGTGCTCTGTAGAAAAATAATTGCTCTGCGAGATTGTGAAAATTGAAAATATTCACCACTCTAATGTTACAAATTTCAAAAAAATTGAATGCAATAAATAAAAGCTTACCAGGCTTCTCCGCCTTCACCACAACAGGGTTAGCGCTGACATCACCCCAGATGTAGCAATATGGCGGTGGCAAATCACTCGACTCGGCCATCGCCAGAATTCGTATTAATTTGCATCTCTGAGACCCTGCGAATAATAATGCGAACTGTTAAATACTAATAATTTTGAAATATTTCTCAGACTCTAAAGTATTTCAGATAAATTTCTTCGCGATTATTAGTTTCACCAATATACTACGTCAAACTTTTCAAATTCAATTTACTGTCTAATTGGGACCTATTAAATCTGAGTCCGACCTATATATATCCTTAGTTAGCCCTGGTCACAAGTTACCGAAGAATTTAAAAGCAACGAAAGGATTCGTTTTCGATGAAGATATGATGAATTTATATGGCGTTCTCAATGGTCTTTAATTTTTGGTAAATTTTTAAATATTAATGTGGTGTTATTGCAACATGAGGTATAACGTGAATGTTGCTCTGATAACTAAACTTTTTAAATTTCGAACTTCTTTGTCTTGAATCTTGAATTTCAACAGATGGATCCGATAAAAAGAAAAATTTTAAAACAATGGATGTTAAACCAAGGAAACATTGAAAAATCGCCGGAGGTCAAAGAGGAAATCTAAACGTACATGTTTCGGTCCCTGAATTCACTGATGAATTTTTATTTTAATTAAAATTTAGTTTTCAATCAAAAGGTTATTGGAGCTGTGTTTCAATAAAGTAACTTTTCGTACAAATGCATTTGAATTTAATATCCTGATAATCATATTAAATGAACAATCTTAGTCACCGTTTATATTTTTGCTCTTAGGGTTATTTTGAGATTGCAAATCCGACTCACGTTGCTCTCGGTCGCACGACGCTGAGTACAGCCTGTAGCGTGAAGCTCCAGAGGCTGTGGCCAACTGCCATACGCTATCCCAGTGTAAACTGCCGAAAATATTAACGATTAACAATGATGCATAAAATTAAAAGACACAGAAACTTTTCGATCAATTTTTACCACAAAAAAATATTAAAATGAAGAAACTAGCAGACATAATTATCAAATCTAGTCGGTCGCGGTGTATCTAGTTCAAAGCATAAAATTTCAACTGACTCAGGCGGAACATACGCAATCATGAATCAAGTAACAGATAATTAAGAAAATTGGTTTGATTAACACTATTATGCTCTACTTTATTAAGAAAGAAATGTTAATAGAACGCTAATCTTTTCCGCCACGTATCTAGTTTAGGCAGTCTAACTAACTTAATTTTACTTCCTTTTCGACCACGAACTTACCTCGTCACGAAAGGAAGGTGCGTGCAATGTGACGTTTTTTCGAGCATTAAAGATCCAAGATTTGGATGCCTTCTGATGAGAGCCTCGTAACTCGTGCCAGACTCGTAAGGGTCTTGTTGCTGCAGCTCCGAGAGACGCAGGAATGCTGATGCCACACTCTTGAGGCTGCAGGGACAAGTAGAATTTTCTGCTGAGTTTTCATCTATGCGCTTTGTTAGTGAGTGACCTGTTCGAACTGACGAGAACATAAATTTAGAATAAGCAAAAAACTCAATTTATTATATTAGGTTAAATTAATATATCAATTATAATAAAAACTCAGTTTAAGCAAAATTCATAGATAAAGAGATATTTTTTAATTTACATATTTCAGCTCTTTCAACATCACCTAACTGCAGTTGATCGATAATTGATAATTCTCCCTGAAATAAATAAATGGAGATCAAAATGTATCATTGGCGAAAACCGAGGCCTGCATCTTTATGAGTTTATGAAATTAAAAACGTATTCTGCGAAAATTTACATATCCAAGATATGTGAGAATATTTAGGAGTTTATGATACCGGATATTGGAACGAAGGTTCAGAATTATGAATGCAAGTAAACAATTCATTTTTAAATAAATATTTTGATTACGGAAGCAAAAGCAGCGACAGAATTAAAACTACTAATGGACAAATTATACAATATGTAAGCCTGTAGCTACAATTATTTGGTATTCCAATTAATTGCAGTAATTATTTATTTAATTATTAGTATCGACATGGTATTCTCACCGTGTGAGTGTCTGGATGCCACTTTGAACTGCAGGGCGATGCTTAGCAATAAAACTATGCACAGAAATACGAACAACAAAACAAATGTGTACTTTTTCCGAGCGAAACTGTTCCTATGTTTCCTCAATGGAGACGGCATTTTATAGACACTTCTTAGATTATATTTACTTAAAAATCACTCTTGGTAGGACAAATCTTGTACTTCAGCTGTTTAGAAGCAAGGGAGATTATTTTTCAGGGCCAAAATGAATCGTTCTCAATTATTTTGTATGACCATAGGCAAAGAGATATATGTATTTTCACCAACACAGTTATTTATAAAATTCGACACGATTGATGGACACAAGCGGCATCCTACACGGCTGCCAACAGCTGACTGGATGAGTGTGGCACTGCTTGACTGGGTCCTCTACTGATCGATAGCGACGGACTGAGTGCATGTGGCCTTGAACAACGAATGTCAGCCCTCAGAATGTGAGTTCGGATGGGGCTTTTGGTTTCTATAGAGTATACTCATTAAGATATTTGGATCATTTTGTTAGATTAATGGCTCATCATTCACACACAGAATGAGCAGAGAGCGGAGCAATATTATTCAATATTATTCAAGATTATTTGATATTATTCAATATTATTTGATATTATTCAATATTATTCAAGATTATTCAATAATATTCAATATTATTAAATATTATTCAATAATATTCAATATTATTCGATATTTGCCGGCCCAAACTGCGTCAGGACGACCCGAATATCAGCAAAACGTCCATAGCAGTTTGGAAAAAGTTCCACTAATTTCTCTGAGAATGCAAGTTTCAAAGCAAACTCGCCCTCATTTACGCTTTCCGTTACAGGTTATTTTCACTAAAAACCTAATAGCAAAGAAAACACCACAAAAATTCATAGTATCTTTAAAGAAAACGTTTTCTTTAAAGATGCTATGAATTTTTGTGGTGTTTTCTTTGCTATTAAGTTTTTAGTGAATTTGCGATTCAAGCAAACGAGTGATATTATTACTTATATAGGTTATTTTCAGTTTAGCTGGGAAGAAATTAACCATTGAAACCTAGACGAAAATGTGAGTCTATTACACATATTCTAACCGACTTGTATTTTTCTCGAGATTTATGATATTTTCTGCATTTTGTTGAATCCAAGCCTTCTGTTAGTCTATTCTAATGAAATTTTGCAGTTATTCAATTTGATTGACTTTCTTGTGTGTAATTTGAGAAGTTTAACCAAATTTATTCTTTACTAATCATGGGACTAATATTCATGACATACTAAACTAAATTGTAATGCAGTTTGAATTCACTTGTGTGACGCTAGAGAAACTTACAAATTGAGGATAAGTAGTAGTTTTACGTTTGATCTCACCACAATGCCGATTTTTGTTTTATGTTCATTAACAGGAAATTCACTTATGCGGACTTCTAATATAATATAAGTTTATAACGAATGTTCAGAAATTATTTTTTAACGTCAATGAAGTAAATATATATTTTATTTCTCTAAATCAATTTAATTTTTACAATTTATTGATGAGATGAGATTGATGGCTATTAATGAGATTGATGGCTGAATTAATATTTGACTGTGGTAGAATTTACCTCGCCATTTTGCTGGAGCATTGGCAGTATGGTTGAATTAATATGTATTAATTCAACCATTAACTTAATTAATAAATTATATATAATTCAATTGAATAAAATTATTAATTAATATGTATTATTTCAACCATGATTGGCAGTTCCAGTTAATTGCCGGAACCCTGATAACAAGATCATTTGCAAGCATAATATATCCATTTCAAGGATAATTCATTTTATGTTATGCATTGACATAATGTTAAGAATTTTTAGTTCAACATTCAGGCTTCATACAAATAATGCGCTAATCATTTTCAAACGTTGAACGGTCGAATTGCATTATAGTGAACATGACTATATAATTATTAATATTGAGTTTGCTGAAGAATGCTAATAATTATTATTAGCCATTTTCAATAATGCGGCTGCACATTAGGTATCTTTTTCTCGACATTTTCTAAACAGATTTCATATTGCTTTGTATATTGAAATATTGCTTTGTAAACAGATTTCATATTGCTTTGGGAGTTTTCATATTGCTTTGTACATTTCTGAATTAAGTGTGGCAATAATGCTCGTAATAATAGTTTAGTTTGTGATGCAGCGGATGTGAAATGCTCAGTAACTACAGATAGTTGACGAATGCATTCATCTAATTTATTATGGTTTTCGAATTACCTTGAACTTTAGATATTTTGAATGCTATTATATAGCAGAGCAGAGTCTGGATGATGTGTAATAGCAGAATGAGGAGCGGTTGGATATGGATTTTGGATGCTATTATATAGCAGAGCAGATTGCGAGTGATATACAGTAATTAAATGAGGAGCGGTTGGATATGGGTAACTAGCGGATGCCGTTGGTCCATAGCATACGTAAAGCCTGTGAAATATATTCGAAAAATTTCGTTCGTATTACTGGTAGTTTCGACGGTTCATGCGTGCAGTGTCCACGTCCTGCAAACCAGTACAAATTATGTCTCATTAATCGGAGTACATATGATTTGTCGGCATTGGTCATCATAATATCTCTAGCAGAAAGTTCAGGAATCCTGAGACATAATCCAAACGGTCTTCAAAATAATAAGTAGTCAGAAATTTAATTTGCTAAAAAGATATTGTATTTAAAAATATATTATTATGATTCCATTTCTTCAAATTCATTTTACGGATATTAATATTTCTCTTAAGACTGAAGGCTGATAATCTGAAAATTTTATATCGGTATTTTTGGTCTCCCAGCTCCAAAATGCGTGGAATCAGCGCTCTGAAAATCACAATCGAACATATTAATGTTTTGCTTGCGCAAAACTTGGGTTCAATTATTGATACTTTAAAAGTGAATTTTGATACGATTTAATTTTACTGAACTTAATGGCATAGAGTGTACAGGGCTTAATTCTGAATGACCTTATACTGATCTGTGAGCAGACTTTTGTGCTTCTTAATTATACGACTGTATAATTAAGAAGCTAGATGTATAAGATGTAAGATGTATTTGACCCGATACGTGACGAGAGATTTAGTTCATATTTCCACCCTAACACAACAATTGGAGCTATGACAACTACTTCAATATGTATATATATAACAATATATACAATGATATCTGATAACACAATTATAGTAACGGGAGCTGTGAAGTATATAAACCTTAACGATGGCAGTGATTTAAAACGGATTCATAGTGCGCCTGACATTATTAAGAAGTGCAAATGAAAAAATTCAATGATTGACCTCGTGTTATTGTATTGTCATGTTTCGTTTAACCTAAACTTTACGTAATAAGTTGCTATAGGTGTTGTTCTCCAACTGTAACAAATAATAAATAATATCAAAAACACACAGCAGAGTTTAGAAGATTTCGAGTCATGTCATCATCATCAAGTGCTTCTGATGATTAAATATGACTCGGATGAAAAGAAGTAATGCTTATTTATAATAAAAAATAATGACGACCGGACACCGACGACCGACCGACCCAAACCAAACGAACAACCGTTTTGACCCCGCACACTGCACATATTGAACGTGTAGCAACAGCACCGCATAACTACAGTGAACTTGATCTGTTACTACCACTATTCTACTTAGCCGGATGAGAAAGATTTTTTGGCCCATCGAGATCCTGATTACAAGTTATTTATGTGTAACATGAAACTGAACAAATTAAAATCTTATTCTACAGAACCCGTTCCGTAATTGATAATTAAGGAACAGTAACTTCAACTATACAGTAAAGTAGTTTTACTATAGTAGTTAGGCTCAGGCTGCGACGACTATCATCCTAATTATCGGACTATGCTTCAACAAAATGCCATTTGGCCCTATGTAGATGGGGATTGGGCCTTGTTTCTGTAAAAGTTATATTAAAATTCATTTAAATGTAATGTCCTCCCTTTAAACAAGTAAAGCTGATTCACATTTCTAACCCTTATTTTGTCCAAACGAACCCAGAATTTTGAATCAGCTTATCCTTGAATATTTTCTACAAAAAGCTTGATTATCAGAAAAAAAATATATGAGCGTAAACTAAAAATATATTGAACACACCTACACATTGAAGGCTCGACAAGCCCAAGCCTACGGCTCCAACTCCAAGGTAACCTTCCAATGATCCAATCATACATGCAGCGCATCAAAGAATCGAGTTATAGTTATGGATGCATACATTTAAGGAATTATATTTTTAATTCACAATCTGATATAAATATATGCAGCTTGGAAAACTATGGAACAGTTTTTGAAACTAATACCGCATCCCCATCCCGCATGACTAATTCCTAGTTCCTAACTTCCTACCTTC